AAAATCGTTAAAAGCAACTCCAATAAAATATACATGTCTATCTTATAAGATATATCTTTTTGTGAGCAATATTCTTCATGAAAACAGGTATATTTTACCGAGGGGGGCGACACATCTAAATCTCAAGTTTAGATGCTCAACAAATCTCACACTAGTGAATCAATATTCGAATAATCTTCTTTCATTTGTCGCATCTACTTGCATCGCTCATCATCTTTTTGCAGGAAATCTTCAGGATCGTCATCAATCTTCTTTCTATCTACTCAGTGTGCGCGCAGCTAGCCACAGCAAAACACAATCTTTTTGCATCGTAGATAGAGTCGTCCCCCTCGTATTTTACTGAGTTTTCTCATAGTGCAAATTTATATGATTTTCCATTAGTTTCTAGATATCTGTTCCCACCCATGACATATCAACAGTTTTTCACCATGAAATATATCAGACAATATTCATATACTTTTTACCTATCGCTAACCACGTTCGAAGCAAAGTATTATCAAGTACTAAGTATGTGAAATTATGATAGAAATCATTCCATATCGCAGTCATAGTTTTTAAGTGATAATCCAATGGAATCTATCAATCATCACATAGAATGAATAAATCTGCTGACATTGCTATGTTATCAGATGGATCCAATAAACGGTACATGTCGATTTGTTTCAGTGTAGCACCACCCATCACTTTAATATGTACACAGCAAAAAATATGTAATATGTATCAATCAATCAGATGTGTTGAACTTATTGATGGTAAAAGTGGATACAATATTACACTCAATAAAATGATTTGTTGTCAAATTCTGTGTACATCGTATAGCGTAATATTTCACTACAAGCGGAACGACCAATACGCAGTATTTAGAATGTAATATTCAATGCATTCCTGACGTTGCTAAAAATTATTATAGAATCAGATTGCGGAGTTGCTAGTGTATTATAATCCTTTGTTAATATGGGCCCATGCATTAATTATGTCACGCTAAATCGAGCAAAAAATTACCCCCTCCCCCCTATCGTGACGTTTTTCCCATACCTAATGCATTGCTTGTCACAAAATCTTAGACCCCCTCCCCCTTAGAGCGTGACATAATATATGCATCAACCCTTACGAGGTTGATTAAAGGGTGTCCACGATGAAATTGCCACACTATGAAATTGCTCTATCTTTTTAACCGTTGGGTAGAATTTAATGAAAATTTGGGTGGATTTAGTTCATAGTGCATTATTTACATCCTGCAAGTTTTAAAGTCCTTTGATCAAAACTCGCGGAAATGGAGTCGAAAGAACAGCTCGTGCGTGATAAAATTTTGCGCATTCATCACGAGAACAAGGATCTCTAGCATCGTTCCATCGCTAAAACGTTGGGAATCGCGAATTCCACGGTGTCGCGAGTGATTAAGCGGTTCGAGGAACGGTTGACCACCGATCGGAAGCCCAGAAGTGAAGGAAAAAGTATTCCGTACAACACCAAAAATCACAACCGCGTAGTTGGGGCCTTCAACCGAAATCCGAACGCCTCCGTTAGGGCTGTGGCTAAGAAGCTGCACCTAAGCCGAAGTTTTGTCCAGAAGGCCAAAACTAAGGCTGGGCTTCGAACGTTCAAGGTACAAAAGGCCCCTAATCGCGACGAGAAGCAGAACAAGTCCGCCAAAACCCGTGCCAGGAAGTTGTACCTCAACATGCTGACGAAAGTTTAATGCTGCATCATGGACGACGAAACATATGTGAAGGCCGACTTCAAACAGATCCCCGGCAACCTTTTTTTCACGGCCAAGGATAAGTTCAGCGTTCCGGAGCATGTCCGCACTCAGAAGATGTCCAAATTTGCGAAGAAATTCCTGGTTTGGCAAGCCATCTGCACGTGCGGGAAGCGGAGTGCACCTTTCGTGACCCAGGACACGATGAACGGACAGGTGTACATAAAAGAGTGCCTCCAGAAGCGGCTGCTTCCTTTCCTGAAGGCCCACAACGTCCCAACAATCTTCTGGCCGGATTTGGCCTCATGCCACTACTCCAAGGACGTGCTGAAGTGGTATGCGGACAATAAGGTCAATTTCGTGCCGAAAATGTTCAACCCTCCCAACACTCCGGAGCTCCGCCCCATCGAGAAGTACTGGGCGATTATGAAGCAACACCTTCTTAAACGACCTAAGGTAGTGAAGACAGTCGAGGAACTGAAGAAAGTATGGGTTTACATGCAAAAAACGGTTGATTCACAGGTTGTGCAGAATCTTATGGCCGGGGTTAAGGCCAAGGTGCGGGCATTTGCGTATGGACTGTAAATAAAATACGAGTAAAATGGTAAAATGAAGTTTAATAGTTATTTCTCAATCCCTGAAAATTTAATGGCAATCGGATGAAAACTCGAATTTTGCGAATCAATTTTGTGTGTGGCAATTTCATCGTGGACACCCTTTATTAATGAACTCTTGATTGCTGGGAATGCTTGTGAATATTTGAGGTGGACAAAAGAGTGAACAAAGAAGTGAACGCCGAAGCTTTTTCACATTTAAATCGCTGTGAAGCAACTGAAAAGTGACGAGGGAAGTGATATCTGGAACTGTAACCAGTTCGTTTTTGTTTGCTAATTTGGTTAAATGTTATACTTAATTATCTTAAAGATAAATCGTCCAGCTCAAATCTTTGTAGGGGTAAGCGGTGGGACCATAATTAACTTTTATTTCTGTATTCGTCAGATTAGTATGTGGGATGCCTTCCCAAGAAACGATGAAAGGTGATTTGTTGCGTTGCCTCCTTATTTCAAGAGCTGACATCTACTAAATTGACCTGAAAAAAGGAACTGGCCCTACTGATAAGTTCAAAATGTGCTGACTTGCTTGACGGTTCAGTGGCGCCACCATGACAAATGCGAGCACATTCCAAACTGAAACCTTATTTGCAAAGAATGTGATTGTGAGTGTTGTGTCTGTTCGTCTGTGCCCTAAGCCTTTCTTAATTCGCGGGTTTTATTGCTGTGAAAATAACAATAACAAACTTTACACTGCCTCAATTCTTCTTCTTTTCTTTATTTAATGTCGGTCTCTGTTCCGCAATCTAGTGACAATCACCGAAGGACACGCTTACCACTACACCACCGGCGGCGGCACTGTTTCAATTTTATGCACGTGAAATTTTTTTAACGTCGATCAAAAAATCCATTGAAGTTCCCCTCAGTATTTACTCTGAACAAGCCAGCCCATTTAGAGAGTGGAATTCGCTATCTAAGCTGCGCCTTTAGCCCAGTTAACGAACAAGTACTGTATCTGAGTAACAACTCTTTGATAAAAAGACTGAACACTGTGGTATTAGAATAAGAATTCAGAGAGGTGGATCAAGTTTCCCCACCTTTCCGTTTAGGCCAAACCTATTGTGATTAACGAAGAAGTATGTTGTGTAGGCAGATGTTCGCTATAGGCCTTTATTCAACAATGTTCACAAAAGTGCAGCTCAATATGCATACATATGAATTTCATATGGTGAAATCCTTACAAAATGTAAAAGGGAAATCTGTAAAACCTGCTTAAAATCAGGAGATGTGTGCAAAAGGAAAACTCTATTCTTGCTACTAAATGGTAATGAGGACGGATGAAGAGGCGGGGAATGCCTGGGGAGAATGCAATAAGGAGAAACAAGTATGAGGAAGCCAATTTATGGCCAAATGAGGCCTCTCGGGTTATCAAAAACGATAGCGACAATCACACGAGGACAACGGCAGCGGCGGTGGGTGTGATTAAAACAATAATCATAATTAACTACCGCTTGTAATTTGCTATTATTAAAATCGTTATTACCTACTTCCGGTCGCTCTCTGTCTGTTATCGAATGTTAGGTTCAAAGGACCAAGGTTGTGGGGGGAACGAATGGAAAGTCAGATTCAAACTTGACTGTTTGACTCAACATTAAAGCGCGATTTGTACAACGGTTGTTGCTAGTAAAAGTAATGTCAGCACGGATTGCATGATTCTGTGCAATGCCCCAATGGCGTGCTAATGTATGCCTTCGTGGTTAACACCATCACTGCCGTCAACCGGTGTAATTCGAGAGGACTTCTACATTTTATTTGAATTTGATGAAGTAAGCACACAACAAGTCACGCAGATGGGAAAAGTACAGTGATTTTCATATTAGAGTAGGTGGTACACAGCCATGTATCCATTAAATGTATATACGAGCGTTGTTTCATTGAGTGACGTGAGCTACAACGTGTTCGTACGTACCTTGTAATAAATGTTCATTATGATTCCGGTAGGCATGCAAATTCGCTGGGTTTTGAAAACTGAATGTTAAGTCAAACAGCGCATTTAGGGATTATGCAGATATGAGCATAAGCGAACGGAGCGGGACTTGCACTGCAATACCCGCTCCCATCTCAATGATTCGCACTTAGGTCTTATGTCCATTGGTTGATCAAACGATCGATTCCTTTCATTCGCTTCTTACCTATATTGATGCATACAATCATTAGTTTTAATTTATTAATGGACATAGGACCTGTTCAAAAATAAATCGATACATCCATTGGATTAACATCGATCTAAAAGCCGCAATCGCCCACTTTTACACTATCGACCCTCGATCGCTCTCACCACCATCTGGCGGCAAAACAGAGGAACTAAACATTCAAATTTGAATTTCGCTTTCGCGTAGTCACATGACTAGACAGCGCGCATGCCAAGCACAGCGTGCCTTGGATTTTAAACCACAGTCCTTATCAACGGTTGCTATACCGATCTGTGACCCGGCCATTCATTTCCAAGTTCCTTTCCTTCGAAGGCAGACACCTTGTTAGTTTTCGCGAGTTCTGTGATTAGAAATCATCACCAAAATGAATCTATCAGATTCGGATAGAGTGAAGCTATTTCAGCAATTCAACCTAGTTGAATACCTCAGTGCGCTTCGGATCCGTGATTTGAAATGTAATAATCCTCCCGTGCTGCCTGAAATACGAACAAAAATGAAAACCTAATTTTCTTCCTTTTCTCCGTTTCTTTTCAACAGGCAAACCCTTCTTCTCCGGATTGGACGAGCACATTTCGGACGAAGCCGGTGGCTTCATCGGCAACAGCAACAATCACCACTCGCAGCACCACCATCACCATCAGTTGTCCGGGCTCGGTGGTTCGCCGGCCCGCTCTTCCCCGCACTCGAACGGTTCGGAGTCGACGGAACGCTTCAGCCGGAAGGTGTTCGTCGGCGGACTACCGCCGGATATCGATGAAGGTCAGTGCGCTTTGAATGCATTTCTGCTGTTTATTATGTGCTCTGGGGTAGAAGGGAAAAACAAATTAATAACCGTAGTGCATGGAACCGGTTGTCTATTGACCAATCGTGCATCACCTGCATTGGAATGACGGTACCTACTGGTACCGTCCGTGGGGACATCCAATTATTGTCATGTGTCTTAGTACCACAGCAGAGGCAGATTAGGCATCCCAAGGGGCGTACCGATTGGCTACACTCTACAATCTTCCACATGCATGTCGAGATATGAATGCTAAATTAAGAGCAAATCTCCACTCTGGTCCGAATATTGAATTGCCGACCCATCGAAGGTGGGTAGGTTGGGCGAATCCATTTCTGGAACCTTGTCTATTCGAAATGCAGGGACTATCACCCTGCTGCTGTTGCATCGTTTCCTTCCGTCGGCAATACATTAAGTGAACCAGAAATTGCATTTCCCTGGCATGTAGCTGGTACCATCTGTTTTCTATTCTTGGTACGAAGCTCATCTGGTCGTTGTTTTTATCTTAGGCGGATGTGAATTGTAATTTTGGCAAAAGGCGACCGGACCGCTCTGAAAGTAATAACATACATTTTTCAATGGTGATGATTTCAATTTCCTCATTCCTCGTCACCCTACCTGGGTTAGGATTTCTCGTAATATAGAAGGATGATCCTTACTCTGTTATTCAGATTAATTGACCCAAATGCGCCATGTGTTGGAAATGTTTTTTTTTTCTTTTCTTGATTTGTTTTCCGTACTAAGGCTGTGTTCCATTTGGAGGATATCCGGAGAACTTCGAGATTAGGGCGTAATTGCATTTGTAAACAAACACTTCAATCACCGATACCTCGCGAATTAAAGGACAATCTCACGAACAAGCTATACGAAATGATAGAGGAACCATTCTTCTATCTGTTTGTGTTGTTAGTTTGTGAGATTGAGGTTTAATTCGCGAGAAATCGGCGGTTGAAGTGTTTGTTTACAAACGCAATTACGCCCTAATCTCGAAGTTCTCCGGATATATTCACTTAAATTAGACAGATGGAAAATTTTCAAATAAAGTTGCTATTTTTTATAATGCATTTATTTTTTCAGGCTCATTTGCTGTAGCTTTGCGGAGCCGATATTGATTGTTTAGATAACAAAATTATTTAGACTCTGAACCATTTGGTGGATTATTTTAACTTTTGGTTAAAATTTGACAGATGGAAAGTTATCGATTAACCCTGCTATCTGAGCGTGGTTATTTCTGACAGACAAGAAGTTAAATTTTGACAACAGTGGCTGAGTTCTGCTCGAAAACCGATCGATCGGTAACACAGGGTTTTTCGAACATAAGAAATAACTTTCGAAATGTCACTTTAAACCACGAGTTAAATTCAACTCAGCAAATGGTTCACAGCCCTAAAACTAACGTTAGTAAGGCGGGGGCCGATCGCTCGCGGCTATCTCGAAAAAAACTGCTATTGTAGCAGACTTATTTCTGACAGACCAGGAATCAATTTTCACCAAGGGGGGAGGTGGCTGTCAAATACGAACAATCGTCGCCTACCTCGCATGCCTCGCATAACTGGTTCCAAACGTAAACAAGCCATAAGAAACCTACAGCGATTGTTTACGTTTGGAGCCAGTTTCATACAAGAATGATCAGTAGGCTGATTTCAATGAGCTGGATTACCGAGGTGAAGCAATCACTCACACAACCACTGTACGATACACGCAAGTACACGCAAGTAGTGACGTCACTACTTGCGTTTACGTTGATTTTTTGGTTTACTAATACAACCCTATTTCACGATCTGCGCCACCTCTCTCTGTACCTCATTGGGCTGATTTGACAGCACGTCCCCCCCCCCCCCAGATTTTCACAAACACCTCTCGATGAACATTTCAAATGGTCCTATCTGCTTTGATCGATTCTCTTCATCGACTTTATCTTTTCATAACCACTGCTATGCAAACAGATTTCACGCTAATTCTACCACATAGTTTGATAAAGGAGGTTCTTATCTAGCGTCCAAAACGTCAAATACAACAAGGAAAGGTTTTGCAGCTGAGTTATTAACGAAAGAGAAAGTCGATGAAGAGAATCCATCAAAGCAGATAGGACCATTTGAAATGTTTATCGAGACCTTCTCGAATATCGGACTATCAACAACATAGAGATTTCCGAACATTATAATTTATTTTCGAAGTGTCAAATGTAATTGAAAATTCATCATATTTCGCGAAACATTTGAAAAGGGCCTATCCCGTTGATCGCTTCCCTTCATCGACTTTCTCTTTGGTTTACCACGGCAACATAAACGAATTTCTCGATAAGCTCGCACAGTTCGACAGATGACTAGGGGCAAGACGGCTGTACTCAGAATTAATATTTTCACAGCAAGCAAATTTGAGTAACTCATATTGTATGTATGTATGTAAGGTAGCCACCATCCCTTCGAAGATCTTGTCTTGTATGCAGCTCCACTTAATAGCAAGATCAATTTGAGCTACCGATCTGAATTCACAATATCGCTGTATGAAGGGCCAAAAACGGTGGGGTGGACCCGTAAGCAGAGGCACTTACGCGAAATCCACGGGAATTTAAGAATCTCCTTCCAACGATACGATCCAACAAATCGAATAACGCAATTCGCAATACTTATTAAGCTTCCTACAGGATGGTTTGTTAAGAAGGGCGCGTCAATCTCACTGAAACTGTTGGAGTAGAATTCACACCATCACAATCGAATCGGTAGGATAAAGAAAATGATAGTGTTTATTCCCTCCTAGACTCCGGTTGTCATACCACTCCAATCGTCCAGTTTCAGGTCAAATGATACCCTGATGCTCCCTCCCAACCCAGTATTTATTTATATATATATAGTAAACATATGTAATGGAGAAATGAAATATATCAGAACATTAAAATACGTAATAATGAAAATATATTTATATGGATAAAAAAAACTGATATTCCGCAATGAAAATAATAATTATTTTACATACAATATGATGCAGCTCTATGTCTCCTCAGCTCCCAATAAGGAAGATGTAACCCTGAAATTTCCAATAAAAGACACAGAAAAGGAGATTTTTGTTAGTAAGTTGGGTTCGTTGGATCAGGATTCACCTTGATAAGTGATGCGACCATGGTTTTAAATGAATCAGTGTTATCATGCATTATACTTGGATTTGCCCGAAGCCAAAACCAAATGGTGTATCATTGGGCCTTATTACGGGTGTCACTACACGGTGATAAGAAGGTGATACTCAGAATAAGAGCCGTGATTACCGTACAAATCAAATGGGAATCACTTCACCGTGACGACAAGTGACAACTTTTCACCGTGTTGTGACATCCGTAATAAGCCCCCTTATAATATAAATCTGAAGACGTTCCATCATCGAAATGCTGAAAATAAACTTAGAGCATGAGCATGAGCAAAATTGATCGCCCGCGACTGCCAACACCAAAGAGCTGAAAACCAATTCAAACAAATCAAATCAACAGACAAAACCAGGGTGAAAGCTGTAAGAGTGAATCATTACAGTATAAATCTAGTGATGTTCCGTCATCAAAGAGCTGGAAGAAAACTCAAATAATTTAAATCAATAGATCCAGTCTGAATGAAGGCTGCAAAAAGAGAATAATTATACAGCAATGACCCCATTTTGTCAGCTAGCAAAGTATGCGTATCTTAAACATTCATCTTGAAGGAGGAAGGTATGAAATTACAATTATGTGGAATTATTGAAAAATAACAGTCTGATGCGCGGAGAGATTGACAGGATCGGGTCATAACTGTAATGTGAATATTAGGAAGATTTATCATCATCAAACTATTCTTGAATTGACCTGGAAGAATGCTTGTGAATAATTGTTATACAGATAAATTAAATTGATAAACTAAATGGTTCAAACAACAACTCCAGCCTGTAAAAAAGCTGAAAATAGGGAATCTTTACAATGTGGATCCCCGACGGTCTTCTACTCAGTAAGCAAAAGCGGCAGACACCAGGCTAGTCGATCTGCTCAATTTAAATATTGAAACCTTATTTTATGAAGTTCTTAAGAATACCAATTGAAACACAATGTAAACAAATAAAAGTTAAGAGTCTCATCCGAATCAAATGATTCCAAACGATACGCATTCATAGAAATTAAGTTTAAATAGACAAAAGTAGAAAAATGGAACAATCTCACCAAATCAGTCCAACTGAATCCCTTGCAAGCAGCTATGTCACGCTTGGTGTAGTAGCTCCGATCATAGACCCGCCCTACGTAGTTCAATCCTCTGGTCGAATGTAGTCGATTGCTCCATGACGCGAACACGAAGCGACCGCTCACAAAATCATACAACGCGTAAACAAACTGAAATCAAAAACTATCACACGCGACGCCACAAATTTCTGTACCGGGAGCACAAGCGAAGAAAAAAAACAAACAACGCAGATAGCGACACTTCTTCTGATGCCTGCAAACATGATGCATCACGTTTTCTTTTTCGATTCCAAAACTTCTCGGAAAGCGAGAAAACCACCAATCACACACGTATAACCGTCCGGGAGGCAGAGTGCCAGCGCTAATCTGGCAAAATCAGCGAACGCACGCACAAAACAGAAATAAACTTATACACAACCGTATCCGAACAGGTTCGAAACTCATATTTACTCAAAAGTGATCAAAGTAGTCTCACATTCGTCAAGAAATTAAAAATTAAATCAGTATAAACATACATTATCTGTCAGTGTGTCAGAGTAATCATATCCGTATTTTATTTTATTTTTTGTATTCTTGCATCAAATACTCATTAATCCGTGTGTTCTTCTTTTCATTATGAATTACTATTATATTCGTGTTCTCTACTATCGTGGGCAATAAAGTTGAAAAATCAGAATAAGATACTTTCCGATATGATCCGGAGAAATGAACCCGTTATTTGGCGGGCTTTATTACGGATTGCCAAGGGTGTGTTCTTTCGATGGTTAATTTAGCATTCTATTAGCA